ATTCAGCGGTAATTTATGTTGGGAATGTAATTTCTTGCACATCCTCCACCATTGTCAATTGTGATTGAAGCACTTCGGGGCTGTCCCCTTCCCATTGGTTATTATCTAAGAGTTTGTTGTGGCGAAACCGCGACGTACAATTATCATCATTGATTGCGTGGCTTACTGGGAAGGATTAGTCATCAAAGTCATCATTGATGACGACGCCAGCTCTTTGGGCTGACCCCTTCTTATTTGTTAGTTTGGTAGAGATTGTTGTGACAAAGCCGCGGCGTACAGTTATCATCATTGCTTGCGCGACTTACTGGGAATGGTGAATGGTGAGCCAGCGTAGTCATCATTGATGACTATGCGGCTCTTTGGGCTGAGTCTCCCCCTTTGGTATTTTCTAAAGATCTTGGACGGGTTTGCATATTTGAGATGTAGTAAAGAAGTCCCAGTTGCGTAAATCTGTGCAGTTTCTACGTTACAGCAACGCTGTAAGGCCACTGCTCCGCGGAGAAATAATGTCTGCTCATTACTACACATAGTAAGAGCGCAATTTAACATATTTGTGACAGATGTGGTGTTTGGAATTCGCTGTGTATCCTCCAAAGGTAATGCTATCTGATGCATTTTTGGCTTGTTCAAGCGAAACCTCCAACAGGTTTTTTTTAATTGTAATAATAACCTTTTACAGGTAGCATTTATTTGCCCCTGTGTTAGCGATACGTACTAAGAAAGTAACTCGCAGGTCCGGATTTGGAATGTGTTTCTGTCTCTCACGATAAAACTCCCTTGTAACCTACCTTGGGACACCCACCACCCAACGGAATGCATACAAGAATACAACACGCTCGGCACTGGTAGTGGAATACAGATTCCCACGTGGCAAGACGGGGTGCGTGGGTTTAGAGAAAAATAACAACCTACATAGAGTCAGAGATGCAACTCTCTAACAGGTACGCTTAGTACCTGTACATCTCTAGGTAGTGCTCTAGATAGCGATTGCATACACCTATTATAACTGAGAGCGTCGACTGCGGGAGTAATAAATTTCCTGTAGAGCCAAACCTTGGTTTGTTATGTATCGATTATAATATCAGTGGCTGTGTGGCGGTATATTGTACTTAAATATAGTATACGCTAGAGTATCCAATTGTCATTCATCAACGGACTTGAGCTGCTTGGGATAGAGAATCGCTCGCAAGTTGTGAATCGTCGCAAACACCCAAGAAATGTGTACGTCTTACATTATTGTAAGATGTACACAATCTTCAGCCAATCAAAGACCACGAACCGATGGCTCAATAACTTGTAATTAAACTTGGTACAATTTTATGAAAATAGCCCACTGCAAATAAAATGTACTGCACATTAAATATTTATTTCGAATACATGTATTCGATAAAAGCGTGTGCGAAGTCACTGGTTGTTTGGGCATGTATTGTCGTCATTTAGTGCCCTCAGAGTCACGGTGTATCATCATGTAATAAAACACTAAAACACTAAGTGATGGCAATATAACGTCCAGTGACTGCGTAAAACAAGACGTATATTTTCCTATCCGGTATCTGGTCCAATTTATCCAGTAATGAAATATACTTTTAGTGCACGCTTGAAGAGTGTATATACACATCCACAAGGACTGGCATGAACATACGTAGGTACAATTGGGAATGGAAATTTCCCATTTGGACTCTCCAGTACATTGTTTGTCTACCGCGGGTCTGGGGAGTGCAAGCCACAGTACGTACTCATTTCAATAGATAAGTTAACCTCCACTACTTCCAGGTGCTCCGGTATTTCCACCACCTGGTGGAAAACAATATCATTTTTACCGTACAATTGTACTGCACGTGCAACTTCCATACTCATTCTAGCAATTGGATTCATGCTTTCAAGATAACATCTGGGATAATTTAAAAGAAACGCTCGTCGTTCAGTTTCGAGAAATATACATATCCCACAACGGACCACACCGTTGGTAAGCATCAGACTTCTTC